GCTTGTTTGTTGCTTCCACATCTAGTACTGGACACAGAGAGAGGTACAGTGCCATCTGCAGGTTGAAGAGATATAATGATAGATAGAAATGTAGTGTGTGAAATAAAAATAAGCTTTGATTAAAACCTGTTATTTGTAAAATAACCAACATTGCATTTTCACATGTTTTTGTCCATTTCTGTCCATTTTTCAGCATATAAGAAAACCATAAGCAGGACATACAGTATATGAAAACAGTGTACCAAATAAAAGGCGTATATATCCTTAAAAAAATAAAAACAAATATGCAGCCAAATAGTCCTGTTTTTATTGTCAAATTATGCAACACATTCTGAAACTGCTACTACTTGTTACCAGTTCAAAAATACCTCCAGACAAATTGAATCTTTACCTGGCGAAATGAATTATGGAGTTCAGTTTGATACATCAGCAGTGCAGCAGATTTTTCATTATTCATTCATCACTTTCAGGGCAGATAGAATCTGGTTGCTATGGGTAATAGACACTTTAATTTACATTAATGGGTTTTTTGATTGTTTAGTTGATCTCTAGCAATGCCAGGGAGTTATTAAATTCAGGTCCCAAATGATTTCCATTTCAGGAATACTGCTGTGGCTGTGAATCACAGTGAGAAATTGAAACGTGTTCGATGTTTTTATGCTTTCAGGAGCGGTCTGAATTGAAGGGATTTATCTTTAGAATTTATCTATTTTTGTATTTTTTTCCTGCTTCTAGAAAATGCAATCATTTCCTTTGTGTGCAGTGGATTGACTGAGCAGGTGCAGTGCCTAATGTCACTATATGCAGGCCTGTGTGAAATTATTATTAGCATGCTGCAATTTACTACTGTGGAAGTGTTCATGACAGCACCGCATTGAAGACTTAAGTGCTGTATCCTCACTGTTCAGGCTTGCATTGTCTCTATGATAAAGGGCTAAATGAGTGTAGATCCTGGGGTTCATACTCTGTATGTTATTCCATGAGATGTCATGGGTTCTTTTTACTATAGGACTATCACTCATGTTTTGCTCTTCATGCTTCTTGATTACAGTAGAGGTTGGTGGCCCAATTAATTTCTACTTTAAAATTTCAGCTTATTTTTACGAATACCTTTATTAAAACAGAGTTATTTCCCAAGTGCCTTAACGTTTTGCATTTCCCATTCATTAAGGCACAACTGAAGCCACAAGTTTTTGTTGTTTTTGGATAGAGGGTGAAGGGGTTACAGCTTTGTATTAATGTCAGCCATTTTGAGAAAGACATCCATTTTATGCAATATGCAGTATACTTATGTAAGGATCAAATTTACAGAAAAATATGTTTATATGAAGTGAATTTCCAGAGACGCCACAAGGAGAATTTTACAAAGTCTATACCCACAAAGTCTATACCCACTTACCAGCCTTATTTTGGAGAACCCTTCTGGTGGCTACGAGCAAACATGGATGTTGTTTGGTGATTGGATAATTATTAAATAATTAGTTACAATTAACCAATGGTGTTTAAGCTAATTTGCTTATCTCAAATGAAATGACATAGATGCACAATACAATCATTGGGGTTTGGGAGTCTATGGACTGTAAGCTGGCCGCCCATGCGCGTGTGTCAAATAACTCCTTATCTGATTTGGAACTACTCCCAGACCTTGCTGCTTCAGTTTCTTACATTTCCCTATTTGTGGGTGAGACACATACAGTAAAGGGGGAAGCTGGACTTTAATCAATGATGAGAATCAATCTCTATTTTTGGCGGCGTGGTTTGGCATGTAGATTCTCTGTTATGATCTCGGAGTCAGTTTCTTACATGGCAAGTGGCAGAAAGGGGATAAAAGGGAAGCGGTTTAGAAAGCCTTGCCAGGCAGTATCTAGACAGCAGATAGTGTCTTCACAATAGGAAATATAAGGCAAACATTATAGACTTGAAGAGCGAGATTCAAACTGTTTTTCTTGATTCAATTCTTCTAAAGGGAATATCTGCTGTTTAACAGACCAGTTCATACCTGAAACAGTGGCCTGCGCCTTTGTCTCCCCACATCACTGAGGTATTGCTGTAGAGTTCTATCCACACTTAGCGGAAAGAGATTACAATGTTGGTAGAATCTAGAAATAGCTCAGACTTAGACTTCATGCAGCAGACCAGAGAATTGTAAAAAATGCTGGTGTTATTCACACACAAGACTTGAGTCACTGCTCCCCACTCCACCTTTTCCTGTCATATAATGGCAACACTGCCATGGATATGTATTGCAGTCACACCAGGCCCCTAAAAGCATCTACACTTCCACACTGCTTTTATGACAAATCTGGAAAATGCTTGGCAACTAGCATTTATACCACTGGCACAGAATAACATAATTCCATCACACCTGCAATGGTTCATCATTACTACAGTACTACAGCATAGTGAACATATTTCCTGGCAAATACAGTATTAGTATAACCATTGTGTATGAAGAATATTTTTATTACATTACTTAAATGACCCATATACATCTCTAGGAAATTGTGAATTACCTTTAAAAAAGCACACCTTTTATAACATATTTATGAGCTACTTGCATTGTGCACTGAGCAAAATGTTTTATATGCCATGCTCTTTGGTAATTTTAAGGAGAAAAATCATGGTGGATATAAAATTGTCAAGTAATAAATTAACCTCATGAGCATTGTTTGAAATGCATATTACATGTGAAGGAACATGTAAAATGGTAGAAGGTGAACTAAACCATAGCAAATGTGATTTGCTTTCTGTTTCTTTGATTTATATAGTAATGGCTGAATCAGGTTACTTTGTATTACCATATTCTGTATGGTCAATTTTAGAAATGTGTTCCTATTCTTTTGTGGGTGGGTGGGTGGGTGGGTGATTTAAGGAGATTTTTAAGAACAAGAGGGGGACCTATATTTAGTAACATTGAGTTACATCTCCCATTGCTGCCTTGCAAACAACAATAGAACCCCAACCCCTCTGTTACTTACATTGTTAGCCCAACAGGCATCCAGACATTAACACACAACAGCTTGTATGGTATCCATTGAGTTTTATGGCTGTAATATCTGATTTTACCAGCAGGTAATGATTGCAAGTGAAATCTGTAATTTAAATTTTAGATCCAAAAAAAAACAGAAGGGGGAACCTGCTGTATTACTACATTAAAGGGTCTCAAGCAAGACATTTCAGTTTCCCTGGAAATCAATTTTGAAGCAACTTTATCATATGTGAGAAACAAATACAGTGATTAGACATGTCGTAAGTCTCGTAAACTGCAGATAAACCCAAAATATGTTTTCATTATGTTTGGTGTCATGTCTCAATGTATACAGTTTTATTAAACAAATACTTTTTTTGTGAATCTGTTTAAAAAAAAGTTTTACCTGGAGATCCTGCCACTAACAGAACTTACTGTAACAGAGTGACAATGGTAAGCCATTATCCCACAATTAGCAGCAGCATTCTCAGCCTGCTCTCTGTTGGCAATTGGGTTGCCCATCAGGTATGTAAGATATGCAGCCCAGCAGCTACCTGAAGGAGCTTGCATGGCATGCAAACAAAGCAGCTACTAATTGCGTGGCAGGGGCTTAGTGTTGTCAGCCTGCAACATGAAGTGCTGCTAATAGCAAGTGTAAATCGATCGGGGAGCCCTCCGCACACCTTACAGCAGTCCCGGCCAACAAGAGAGATGGTGCTCGTAGAGATAACCACGGATGGCGCCGTGCAAACACAGAACAAAAAAAGCAGATCACCAGCACTCAGTAGTAAAGTTGAATATGTCCCTTTAATTGGACAAAGACGTCACAGTGATCAAAAAAGCCGTAGGTCACGTCTTTCTGCCTTGAGGAAGGGACCCTGCGCGACCCCGAAACGTCGGGTTTTTTGATCACTGTGACGCCTTTGTCCAATTAAAGGGACATATTCAACTTTACTAATGAGTGCTGTTTTTTTTGTTCTGTTAATAGCAAGATCTCAAGGTAAGAAACCGTGCAACAGATTGACAAAAACAGATGTTAATTTTAACTCTCAATTCATGTCACCATTACAGAGTAATGAGCCATGAAATAGCATTAAAGCTAGTGCTTTTTGATTTCTGACACTCTTGCATGTGGTAAGCATCAATGAGGCTGCACAAAGGCAGATGGTCTGCTTTGCTCTGAGCCTAGTAAGGTATATGCCATTCATTTAAAATTAATGCAATCTATAGGTGTCCATAATTATTGTGCTGGCAACCCAGCTGCTAGCCGCTGAACATGGCTATGCCCACAAGGAAAACATTATTACATTAAATGTTAATCTGGACAGTTATATGATCATCAGAGACATGTTACTTTAACAACAGCATGTGCAAGCTTTTTTTTTTGTGGATGCTCTATTTATAGGACCAATAAAGCTAAAATCCAGGCTTGTTTATATGAAATAGTTAATGATACAATGCCTTAAAAAATAAGATATGAATTCTTAATTACTCTATTGATGGCCACTACAGATAACCTGTTGATGCTTTTTCCTTGTCTTATATATCAAATAGCAGAATGCATTATGCTATACAGTAAATGTCATTATGTGGAATACCTCACATTCTGATGAATATTGTGATGAGTATGACAAGCTGGGTCTCTCCTCCCTATTTGTGAGAGCATTTTATATTTTTTAAAGTTTATATGATTGTTACTGCACTTACATCTTTTGCACCCTTTCTTCTGTTTTATTATTCTGTTCAGGGCATGGGTCATCCCTATCCTATATGAAGGGTGCTGCAGGACCAGTGCATGAAAGGACCATATTAAAGTTGACACTCTATGTAATTTACTTTCTATGACCAGGAAGCCTTAAAGCACAAGTTGAAAATGTTATTTGTTAGAACTTGCCTATACCTATTAATGATTATATGGGAACTTCTACCTACATAATGGTGAACGGTGATTATATTAATGCTACTTTATATGAGGCAAATTGTGTTTAGGTTTATTGACCTGGTAGTCCCTGTAGAGAAATATATATGTGGTCCCTCCCTCCATAAAGGTCACATAAAAATTCAGGTGTCGTTACACGTTAGGATCTTGTTGGCAAGCAGAGCCCTTGCTGATATTAGCAGGCTCCATTAATGTAGGACACAAAGATAGGGGAGGCTGCGTGCTGGAGGACAAGCCATTCACTAACTGGTCAGTGTTACAATGTCTCTCCAGGGTTAATTGAGCTCTTTTTCCCATGGTAAGGATGCCTGCAGCTTGGTTCCCTGAGCCTTGGAGCAATCTTTGAAGCCGTGTCTGCATCATCTGGTTGCTGCTCTTCCTTTTTCCCAGGGTAAGAATCCCAGCTGCATGGTTGCCTGACCCACGAAGAAGGTCATACAATCGACAGGAGCAGGTCTTCTGCCTACAGCAGTCTGGTGCACTGTCTGACATCATGGCAAGTGAGAAAAGAAGAGCCAATATCAGCACACAGCAAGTCTTCTTCACCTGTAAAGATCAACAAGGCTTTGTGACACACTGATCCACATATATTTAGAGTGAATACCTAGCTCAATAACTTAGGCAGTGTTAAAAGGAACTGAACTGTGGAACCTCTGCCCACTATAAGGCAGGTAGAGAGCAAAGGACTTGTCACCAGTATTATCTGTGGTATACCGGCAGCTGACCTTTCCCCCAGTAATTACTTACAATGCCCTTTTCCACACTATGTATGTGTGTGTGTGTAGGCAAATTGATAGTTGCTTCTTCATGTCAGAGCATCCAGCAAGAAGAACAGAGAGCAGAACAGTAGTGACATCTAGTGACATCTGAGGCATTACTGCTTTAGATATCACACTGTAGATATGCAGCAATGAGGCCATAGCCTAGGGTTGCCACCTTTTCTTCAAGTGAAACCCGAATACTAGTGCCGCACACAGCAATTTTGTTTGGGAGAATATAGTGGAGAGGAGAGGCAGCCAGGAGAAAGAGCAAGAAGAGACAGCCAGGCGAGCGATTAAGGAGACCGGCTATAGAAGACTACAAATCCTGGCAATACATTATACAGCAATACAATATAATATGAAGCTACATATTCTTTGATGTTCTGGGGTGACACCCTGCTGTCTCCAGGGTCTCAGGTAGCCCGTGCGGGCTCTCACCAGGGCTGTGTGGGCTCTCAGGTGGGCTATGCTGTGCCTAGGGTGGGCTATGCTGTGTCTCGGGTGAGCTATGCAGTCTCTCAGGTGGTCTATGCATGCTCTGATAATAAAAAAGCAAATACCTAGGAAACCCATTTGTGCTCCTATTCAAATACCCCACCGCAACCACCTCAGTCAGTAACAAATATATACCAAACTAAAAAGAGTACCATTATGCAAAGGACAAAATAGGAAAAAACTTTACTTTTCAGACCAAGGGTGCTTGTGGCAATTCATACCAAAAGATACCTTTTGTTGATACAAAAGTTAAATATGACGCCGCAACCAAACCCCCCGACCCCCGGATAAAAATGGTTTTGACCATGTTGTCAAGTATAAAACACACACATACCCATGCACCCTAACCACCGGAGGGAGCAGAGGCACATAAGCCGATGCTTCCTCTATAGCGCTGGCTCCTGCCACAGGCGGAGTGATACCAAAAGCACTACGCCTGTGAGGAATCCATAGTGAAAGCGCGCTTCGCCCATTCTGGTTACCAAATTGCTCTTGGAAAGGTACGGCACCCCTGATTGCCCTGATCACCCTATTCTTAACTTTGCCATTTTGGATTATTTAATTTGGATTTGGAATGGACATTAAAAAAAATAAGACCTACCCCGAAAATAAGGCCTAGTGTGTTTTTTTGAGCCCACAAAAATATAAGAGTGTCGTATTTTTGGGGAAACACGGTCATTCTGACAGAGCTCTCACTGAGAGCTTATGTAAACATTAAATTGGATACAATATCAGCCCCTCACCAGCCAGTCCATTCTACTATGTATCCATATACATTGCTATACTTCACAAAGCATCTCCCACACAGGGGTTGACACCAGCTGCAGCCAGTGATAAAATCATTACTCACAGTTTACAGGACTCAATACAAATATCCCACATGAGTGCAGATTTCTCGGCTCATAGACAAGCCAACATTTATTGTGAACAGTAATGGCAGCGTTACCATCCGCCACCCAAGGACCTGATGCAGATTTTGGCTGAATCCAACTTCATGTTTACATAAGATCTCAGTGAGAGCGCTTGCTGGGGACAATAGTGTCCTGTGTCCGGGTATCAGCTGGCCTGACACCCGGACACAGGTCTCTAAATGACCAGACTGTCAGGGTGAATCCCGGGCAGGTGGCAGCCCTACAAATAAGTGCCTAGATACCCTCACATACCAGGAGATGTGCTACTATTTTGCAAGGGGAATTCAAGACAAAATGTACATTTTTCACGGTACTAATGAAGCACAAGTAACATATTACCTATTACACAGCAAACCTTCACTTTTTGAGTTAAGTTGCACTTTGTTATTCTTTTGGTATGTAGTACTTAATTATTATCTGTAGGTGGCTCTGTTGGTTTTAACTACAGAAAATCCTTTGACCGATGGACAGTTAAGAACAGTAGCAGAGCAATAACACTGTGTTGATTTGGAATTTGCATACAATGGTCGGTCTAATATAAATTGCAGCTTATACCATATTACATTTAAACAATATAGAATAGAACAGTACAAGTGCTACCATTTTGCAATGTATTTGTTAAGTAAAGGATGGTATAGAAATATATACTTACCAGGCAGCCACTTGAGATGTTCTAAAGCAATAAAAGTAACAATCAAAATCAATGCCATTGATTAATAACTGGTATGTGAGATTTCAAAGCCTAGCAATAACCCGGTTTATTTGTCATCTAAGCAGTTGGGAAGCAAGTGTCTAAATTACTGTAATTTATAAAGTGCTGGGCTCTGAATGTGTGATAATATGAAACCCTAAAGCAGAACTCCAGTTTTCTATTAATGCTGCTGGAGGAAAAATCTATGATGTCATCAGATCAGTCAGAAGACCCTTAAAAATGTATAAAAATATATGGCAAGAATATGTGGATTCTTGTGGCTGGAATGACAGGTGGTTCCAGACAGCTCTGGCCACATGTATCCCCATGTCCTGTTGTTACTTGCAGCTAGGGATAGAAGATCAGCTCTGGCTCCAGACAGATTGATATGGTTCTAACTGCTAACTACTCTACAGATACATCTTAAATAAATATATACAAACTCGTATCTGTGCATACACACAAACCTTATTCCACCACCGTGTCCGAAGGAATTTTTTCATTTTTTCACACACATTTTAAAATCTGCACTTTATTACTAGAAAGTTACTTAAAACCCCCAAACATTTATATATTTCCTGAAAGCAGAGACCATGTAGAATAAAACAAAGGCAGTAGTAATTTTTTTTGTGTTGCATGATATTTGTGAAACAAAAAATATATTAGAAATGTGCAGAGGATTTATGAAAATCTATTTTTTTGAGTTATTCCTTCATTTGTTGGATTAGTGCTCGCTTCTTAGGTCAGTTGCTTCTGGCAGCGAAGTTTTTAAAAAATTTTATAAATATTTGTGAAACTGTTTATTAAATCTTTATCGTCAATTGTTTTCTAAAATATAAAAGATGGGGTTGAGTTCAATGAATAGATACCAAACATATCAAGCCTTAAAATTTGGTTACCACTGTGAAGTGGTAACCAAAATTGCCCATAGGCGACACCTTAAAGTTGCACTAAACTCAGGAGTTAAACCTTAAAAATGCATTCAGGTACCTTAACTATTAACAAAAATGTATCTTATTTGTGTATCACTCAGCTGTAGAGCCTCAAATCATCTCTGAATTGGTGCTGACACTGTCGTTCCTTCTGGAGGATGGCTACTTTTCTTCCCCGTGGTCACTGTGTGTGTTGTAAAGTAGCCACTGCTCCAAGTCACTCCCATGATAGACTACAATCTCACATTTAGTTTACTAATTTGTAGTGAGATTGTAGTCCATCACGGGAGCGAGCTTGGAGTGGTGGCTACTTTATAACACACACAGGGACCATGGGAAACAAAAGTAGCCACCCTCAAGAAGGAAAGACAGTGCTCACACCAATTCAGAGATGATTTGAGGATCTACAGCAGAGTGATGCAAAAATAAGATACATTATGTTAATAGTTAGGGTTCCTGAATATGTTTTTAAGGTTTTAACTATTGAGTTTAGTGTCAGTTTAAAAGTCTTTACAGGTCATCAATTTAGAGTCAACTGCTAATGATGGCCATAGAATTCTTGTAAGCTACAATTATATAAAAACATTTCTTGGGTTTAAATATACTGTGCATGCAAGACAGCCCAAGAACATCTTGGAATTAGAAGTGATCCGCAAGGGAGAGTAGGCAAAAATATCTACAACAAGAACTAAAAGACCCTTAGCTCGGTATAAAACGTTTTTTACAAGTTGATAACTGTACCAAAGGGTGTGTTATTAAATACTAAATTCCTAGGGGGGGCAAAATCTGTGCATGCCACATTGACTATTTTCTACATTCCTATGTTATAAAGTTTGTGAAATAAAATGTACTATGCATTAACATTTTCAAAGATGTAATTTAGCAACACATCGTTTTCTTTCAGTTGTTGTTTTACAGCTGCAGTTCACTAAAAATGTATTAAATATGTCATTTGTTCAGGGGTGCCCAAGCTTTAGCATGAAACTGTGTGTGTCTATGTATATGTATGTGTGTGTGTAAGCATATGTGTGTGTGTGTGTGTATATGTGTGTATGTGTATGTATGTATGTATATATATATATATATATGGGGTATATACATATATATATATATGCAGCCCATAATGTTAGTGATGCACATTTTTAGGACTGATCATTTTTTAAAGCTCTATGTCTTGTTAATAAACGTACCCCATTGGTTAACATACTGCACCGCAAACAGAAGGCACTATTGTAGATTTAACATACCAAGACGTTCCTAGTAAGTGATATGTCTACTACAAGAACACTTGCATAAAATGAAAGTATAGTGATACAATCTAATCTAACGTTAGTTTAAGCAATTTTGTAATTTAGCAACACATCGTTTTCTTTCAGTTGTTGTTTTACAGCTGCAGTTCACTAAAAATGTATTAAATATGTCATTTGTTCAGGGGTGCCCAAGCTTTAGCATGAAACTGTGTGTGTCTATGTATATGTATGTGTGTGTGTAAGCATATGTGTGTGTGTGTGTGTATATGTGTGTATGTGTATGTATGTATGTATATATATATATATATATGGGCTGCATATGCATATATATATATATGCAGCCCATAATGTTAGTGATGCACATTTTTAGGACTGATCATTTTTTAAAGCTCTATGTCTTGTTAATAAACGTACCCCATTGGTTAACATACTGCACCGCAAACAGAAGGCACTATTGTAGATTTAACATACCAAGACGTTCCTAGTAAGTGATATGTCTACTACAAGAACACTTGCATAAAATGAAAGTATAGTGATACAATCTAATCTAACGGTAGTTTAAGCAATTTACCTTGTTGCTGAGAAATTCCATATTCTGATCAGGAGCCTGTAGCAATTGCAGCAAGTTGTGTGCCAACTTGTTCGATTCTTCTGCATGTAGGCGAACAAGGCACCTCATTATATAGATGGTGTTGTCTGTCCTCGAACTTTAAGGACAATTGTGCTTGATCTATTTTTTTTTCTTTTTTGCAGGTCTTGCGAGAGGGCATATCATTTTGCAGAGCTCCTAAGAATAGATGGGGGACAATGGAATGGGGTGACTATAATTACCTGGCTAGAATTTGGCCACCTAACATCACCACGCTACTTGAGGAATGTCTTATAGGACAAGATGCACTTTCATTGTGAAGGATTTCTTAATAGACATTTTCTCAATGTAACTAGGATTTAACAAGGCTTTGAGGGCTGGTGGAATGCGGTAGGTTTTAAGATGCTCTCATTTGAGGTGGACATAAAGTCATAATGATTACACAAGATCTTTCTCCTATGTTTTTAGTTTTCTATATTTAAAGTCTGTTCAGTCATATTATTGACCACAGAAGTGGGCATGAAGATATGACACCCTATTACACTAATGAGTATCTTTCCTGGAATCTTGATTGCAGCAGCAGTGAATAAGTCTTTTGCTGCCCCAGGCAACAGTTGAATTGTCCTAACCAAATACCAGCAGACCTGGTCCTAATCAGGTTATCCGTCATACTCGCCTTGGATGACGTTGGAATGCTCCTATACAACAGTTATTTTGAGTAAATGTCAGTTTAGATTTCTACTCTTTTCTTCTGAAAGAAAACTTATAACTTGTAAACCTGCACTAGAATAATTACAGGAGGACTATGGCGCAACACAAATCACTATTGATGTTCTTTAATACATTTATCCTGACCTTTCTATATGCACATGTCTCTGTCTCCTATGGGCACCAGCCAGAATCTCATAATTTTTTTCTATTCCCTGCAGGAAATGGATTCCTCTCCATTGGTCCTACAGGCCAGGTTAGGCCTTGGTCTTCTTATAAAGTTGTTGTCATTCCTGTAGTTTGCAAGTGACTATTTTCCAATTCTTACATGTTATCTGTGCTGTGTCTTCTTGAACCCCTTATCCTCACCTTAGTTTAGGTCTGTCTGAGATTTCTTCCACTAGGCTCAATTATTAGAACATTCTTGGCAGGGTTATTGGAGGAATTTTACAACAGCAAAGTCACCTAACAACTGAAATATCTAGTTGTTTCTACAGCACCACATCACTTCTACAGATTCTGCACCACCATAAATGTTCCAAACGTCTTATGTTAGCTGTGATATCTGTGCCTAGATATGGTCTTCTAAAAAGTCTTGGATTTTGTAAACAGGTATGTGAGATTATGGTGTACAATAAAGCAGGGCTCAAAATTTCCACTCGCCCCCTCGCAAATTGCGAGTGAAAATTGCGTGGGGGCGAGTGCAAATGAAGCCATTGAGTCAGGCACTCCTCGGGGCGGCTTCTCTCCTCCTCACCGACATGATGACAGTGATCCCTCGTCCGTCCTTCCGGGGTCGCTCCAACTGTAAATAAATAAATAATACAATAAAAATACAAAAATTATTTAAAAAAAGTAAAAACTGCCCCCCCCCCCTTCACACGCATATTATTAGACATGTGTGAATACTAAAAATGTATTTCAGATGAAATGTGTATGTGTAATGCTCTGTGCGTTGTGCTGTGGCTGTATGTGCAATGTCCTGTGCGTTGTGCTGTGGCTGTATGTGTGTTGTGCTGTGTGCGCGTTGTGCCCTGTGTGTGTTTGTTTGTGTTTATGAAGGGCAACTGGTGGCGAGTAACTTCGAAGGCCTGGCTAGTAGCTCAGGACCTGAAATTTTGAGCCCTGCAATAAAGTATACACAGGTTCATCCTGCTGGAACCTGATAAGCACTGTTGATACATGTCTGGGTAAACTCTCAGTGCAGGCTGCTGTAACTTTCCCTTCCACAAGGAATCCAAGCAAATTTAGAATCTTTTATTAAGTGCCACCAGATGATTAGAGCTTGCTAACAAGTTGCCTTCATTAGAATGCCCAGTGTACAGTGGCGTAACAACCGGGGGGGCAGCAGGGGCGGGGGCCCCGGGCGAAAAGTGAAGGGGGGGCGCCGGCCGAAAATGGCACTTTCGGTGGGAAATTCTGCCCCGGGCGCCCAGAACTCTGGTTACGCCACTGCCAGTGTAGGTTGCTCAGTGCAATAGAAAACAGTTTAAATTACACATAGCTGAAATCTAACTACACGTTTGAAAGACCTTATCCATATTTTTTTTACAATATCAGCATTTTGACTGCTATAAGGCTACTTTTTTGGAGTGGTCTGTAAACATGTTTTCAAAAAAAGCTAAAGTAGGCAGCAAAAAGAGTTGTGTTATGTGCTTGTTAAATTGAAATGTGATTGTGCAGATATATCGATGAAAGCTGACTGGACCAGGAAGGTGTGAAAATACCCAGAAGTGAAAATAATCTCTGAAGGTGTGAGAGATGATTGTGTGCGTCTAATAACATCAGAAACCGAAAACTGGAAGACACAAATCAGAAGATGCTTCGTTGCTAGAGAATATCTGAGAGGTTTCTATTACAGGAAAAATATAACTAACTAAAATAAAAACAGCTTCCTCATGATTGCTTTTTCATCTTAGCACTTCAATGTATGTACATTTACTGTATATCTTTACAATTTATCTAAATTTATATCTTGTTTAGCTGGTAAAGTGCTTCTTCATTTACATTTCATTCCTTTCAACCCCATGTTTTCAGCATTTATTATATTAAAAGGTATGTTACAATAAATCATGCTCTTTAAAACACCACCCACCCAGTCAACATGACTACCAGTCACACTGTTTGGTGAACTGTTAGCCCTCAGGAAACTGTCACTACCATGAAAAGGCCAGGGAGTGGTTTTTTCTTCCCAGACCTACAGCTTATAGTCCTCCCCTGGAGCAGTTAGATATTACCAACCTGAAGAGTTGTGCAAGGAAGCTACCAGTTCTTGTACCAACTTGGGCTTAAAGGAGAACTAGGAGGTGAGTGTTTTTCACTCACCTCATAGTTCTAGCCGACCTGTGACAATTAAACTGTCACAGGTCGGCTCAGTAGATCGGGAAGTGAGCGAACACATACCGGCGTTCGCTCAGTTCTCGATCCTGTCACTGCAGAGAGCCGTGACAGGGGAGGGACTGGATTCCCCCCTCCATGCTCCGACCCTCCAGCACTGACTGGCGGAACGGACGGGGGAGGGGGCGGGTACAGCTGGCTCTGCCTCTAGATAGGCAGAGCCAGCTGCCACTCACGCAGCTGGGCGGATCCAGACATAATTGTCGGGATCTGTTTCAGCTGCGGCGTCTCAGTATATCGCGAGCTGCAGCTTGCGGTATACTGAGCTTTGGGTAACGGGAGGACGCTAGTTTGTGTCCTCCCATTACCCTTCAGAGATCTATGGGGAAAAGCCCTAACCCCATAGTTCTCCTTTAATTCAGACATCTGCATCCGTGAAATTACCTTACACATTGCATTGAGGTTTGTGGAGTCAGCCCCCACAGGGAGAGAAAATCGATGTGTCAATGTACAGCTATTAAGGTAACCCTGGCCTTTCTCTCTACTTCTTTAATACCAGGACACTCTCTCTCTACAGGGAAGCTTCCTCTATTTCTAAAACAGTCTCCCAGGCTTTCCAGGGCATGTTGCAATTTAAGCGTCACACCAGTTAAAATAGTCCACATATAACATTATCCCACTAGGGTCAGGGGACAATCGAATAGACTAGCCATTGAGTTTCCAGTGTACAAAAATACTCCCTTCATCAGGGCTTACTGAGAGAAATCATGCATGTGGACTACAATCTCTGCAGCTTGAAATTTGTATTAAGCTGTGTTGGGAAAGCTTCTGGCTTGTCAGCAACTGGTTTGGCAGCAACCTTCCATTTTCAAATATAAGTCTTCCAGTGCAGTCAGTCTTCATGTCTTCCTCTCTCAATTCCCCTCTCTCTTTCCGATAGTTTTCTCTGCAGGGGAATTCTCTCAGTCTTTAGAAGTAGTTTGTCTCAGGTAGTCTTTCTTTATGGAATCACAAGAGAAAGCAGTGATTTAGGCACCAGTTAGAGCTTTACCCCATATAATAACTATATTAGGATAATTTATTTAAGTATAAAGCATCAAAATACACGTCCACCTTATCCCACATATATTAAAAACAGGACAATGTTGCACTGTCTTATCCCACCCCCTCAAATTCTCTGCTCTCTGTGGTCTACATGATAAAGTGTATAACATTTTTAATCAATTGAATTCTATAGCCAGATTTTTGCATTCACATTTTATGTAGATTTAGATTGCATGTGCATTAAATATCCACAAAAACCCATGATACGGCAGTGTTTTATAAATATAGATATATTTATACACATTAGGTGTACTTCTGTGGGGCCTCATGTTTAGGTTTCGCCTAAGGCCTCGCAAACTCTAGATCCGCCTCTGACTTCCTTTTTAACAAATCCCTGTCGATGGTCTTACTGCCAATGCCCAGCTGTCAAAAAACCCACCTGCTGTTAAAAACCGAGCTTCTGAACAGTGTTTGTAAAGAGCAATTTAAGAAATACAATGTAACATTATTGTTACATTGAATTTACTCTATTCAATTCATATGGAGGTCAAATTAATGTCGTTTGATTTGCATATGATGTCAGTTAAAAAAAAAACCTTACAAGTAAAATGAAAAGAAGCATTTTTTTGAAAATACAATTTGATCCTATTTAACCCATAGTTAATCCTAATCAGCCCTAAATAACTCATTTTCCCTTCACCCCCTTAGCTATGATTTTATGCTGATTTTTTTTTCTATTTTGTAAATCATAATTTTTTTGTATTTGTTTTGCTCAATTTCTTTTAGTGTTGCATTAAAATGTGCAAAATTGGGAAAAAAACTCTGATTCATTTGTAATTAACTCTTCAATGTTTTGCACTGGTTTAATTTTAGTGTCATTATAAACTGAATAAATTATAAAATGATAAATGGAATAAGTTATAAAATAAAATCTATACT